TCGGTCGGCAACGGCTCGACTCGAATCGCGTAGAGCTTGTTGTGCCGCAAGTTCTTGAGCGTCACGGAGTTGTTGTTCTTGACGTTGTGCCTCGGCATCTTGTGCATTTTGGTGTAGACGCGCGCGTTCTTCCTCTTCATGTTGGCGTTGTCACTGTCGTTCTCATGCTAGCGCAAAGGCTTCTTGGGTTTGACGTCGTCGATGCTCTTGTGAGTCGGTGTCGCATAGAGGATTGAGGTTTGCGTGATGCTCGTTGCGCGCGGCACATCGAAAAGTGTTCAAAGATGGTGTACTTGAACCGGAGATGGTGTCGTCAGAGTGTCGACTTGAGCGGCTCCGTCTTGAAGAGGACGAAGTTGTAGAAGAGCAATTGACCATCATGGTTTGGATATCATCTTTGAGGGAACTCAATGATGTGTCGAAGTAGTCCCTTGTACATTGCTCGAATTGTCGTAGGTCGGTGGCGAGATTGTCTATGCGGTCGCCCAAAGCAAGTTGTTCTTGATGCAAAGCTCGATGTGCGCCAAAGAGTTGCGACTTGGTGACGAAGTTTGTCATGTCGCCATCTTGTTCTAGGAAGAGTGGATTGGTAGAAGAACTCGGCCTATCCATCATGAGAAAGTGGTGGTGAGTAGGAAAAATGAGAGAACAAAACCAAAGTTACCTTTTCCGAAGATTGTGGATGTAACAAGTACGATCTCACGTGATGCTATAATAGGGGAATTGGTACCGGGAATTGTTTCTCACACCTACAAGTAAAAGGCTTATGGAGGAGCTCGGTTAGGATGGTGGCAAAAGTTTCAAGCAAATGTTAGTCAAGATATCGATAAGGTTGAGAAGATTCACAAAATGCAAGTAAAAACAAATAGATCAAACCCAATGATATCACTAGGAACACACACACGGAAGATAGATGGGATCCGCATAACCAAGGGGTGAGCTCAAAATGTGCAACCACGGAAAATGCTCTTGTTGTGCGAATACTAGAGAGACGCTAGATCGATTGCTCAAATGGGCTAGATACGCATGTGCACCAACCCATAAGAGAAATGTGCCGTCTTCAATCCCAACTATGCTACGTATGAGGTGTCGAAGATGATATGCAAAATGGCTCGATGCTATTGTTTACGAGCTCTTTGTTGCTCCTCTTTTGCTTAAAAGCTTTTCTTGTTTTTTTAAGCTAGAGCCAAGTATGATATGAGACAAGTATGTAAGATATGCACGGGAGATACTTATGGCACTAAGATGGTAACAAGGTCACTATGGTGCACAATAGCGTGGCCCGGAAATTCTCAACTTGCTAGTCTCGATGGGTAAGCTACGCGAAATGGCTCGAGTTATCAATGCAAAAGCAAGGGTGAGATGTCGTCGAGGTTACCATCCAATCTTACGATAAGAATGAAGTTGTTGAAGCCGGTGTGGTGTCTGAGTTGATGATCGAGTGGCGGCGATGATGATGTCCAAATGCGCCTAAGTAGCCGAAACACCTTAGGACACAAGAGAAACCGCGGTCCGAAACTCAAACAACCACGAGAAATAGTGCGGAAGAACACGAGTGTTGGTATGGAAGCAAAATGGTGCAAAACAAAAGATGGACGAAAGTTACTGGTGGTCCGTGCGCACGGAGTAAGTGAGGCCCATGTGCACGAGGTCCCGTGTGCACGGGGTCTCAAGGGCCCGTGCGCATGGGGTGTGCTGGGAGCGGCTGAAAAGCTCCGGATCCGTGGGGATTTTCCAAGGTAAGGCAATTTCGAGGGTTTAGAAGGTGGGGAAGCAGGAAGATGGGTAGATCCACTTGCCAAACTCCAAATTCGTGGATCAAAACAACCAAATCTCACAAGATCCAACAAATTGCAAGAAAAAAATTCTGGGCTATTTTTGTGGGGATTTTCGAATTTGGACGAAAAACAACAAAATCAAGCTAGCAAATGGGGGGATGGGACTCCAAGATGTGAATCAACCTTGCTCATGATACCAAATGATATAAGATGAAATCCTAGAGGGGATCTTTTCACACTTGGAGGGGGAAAAGGGAAAACTCTCAAGAACACAAAGAAGAAATCACTCATACAATTCCCCAATTACACATCCACTAGAATAGCAATATAAGATCCACAAGTCACAAACACAATCAAAGGAAAGATACAATGGCAAAGTTCTTCCCACTCCTAGGAGATGAGGTCTTGAAGATAGTCTTATCCTAGAGGAGATCTTCAAATCCACTAGGATTCTTCCCAAAGGGGCCTTGATTCCACAAGTGGGAAGGTAGAAGGAGCAAAGCTCACAAATATCTCATCTAATACTTTGCTAACCCTAACATATGGTCTAGGTACGGTTTATATAGGCTTGGGGTCAAATGAAATGAAGAGAGCTCGGTTTGGGGATCTCAGCCGTCCATCCTGAGAGGCCCGTGCACACGGGGTAAGTTGGGCCCATGCGCACGGGGTCCCGTGGGCACGGTACAGGCCCGTGCGCACAGGGTGCTCCAGCATCAACTCCCTGGGTAGTCCGTGGGCACGGGGTCTCGGGGGGCCGTGCGCACGGGGTCACCTGGGACTTCCAGTTTTGCTGCCGTTGCACTCCGTCTTGGTCCACGTGGCCTTGGGGTGGTTCCTCTTCTCCTTGGGGTGCTCCTGAGCCTCTTGGTGGTGTTCCTCTTCGTACCTAATGAGACATAGCGTATCTTGGTAAGGTAGCAACAATGTTCCATTCGTATCCATATGCAAGCTAAGTAGGAAGGAGTTGACCTCGGTTTCCAAAGCACGTGCTCTAGCTCTTGTCATAGGTTCACGTGGGGCTTGATGTGTTGGTGTAGAGTCCATCGGGATGATGGAAGGATGCTCCGCATCAACTTCTCTGTCTAATTGAGGCCAATGGTTGATCATACTCACGAGCATGTGAAGCATACATGTTGGTCGACTAGGCAATAGGGGTAAAAGGCCGAGAGAGATGGTAGAACATGTCGTCCAACCAACCACAATGGTCCTGCGCCAGGCAACACAACATGTGATCCGTCCGGCCGCAAGGGTCTCAAGGTCTTGGCAGCGCTCCAAAACCGCACTCAGATCCCAAAATACGTGTTTGGTCAAGAGAATGCACCAGCGAGAAGTCACGACAGAGTTTGACAACCCACCTAACAGAATACAAGCAAAAGAACACCAACATTCACATAGCGTTCTATCAATGACTCTAGGGAAAATAGAAACACAGTATTTACACAATTATTTGAAAACAGTTCTGAAAATATCCTTTAAATAACTTCCTTAACTTTCGTGTTGCAGTTAGTTTCTGTGCCAATTAGTGCAACGGGTCATCTAGTAGTTAAAAAAGATCAAGCTGGACAGGCAGTCCGAATGAAAAAGCCGAGAACCGAGGCCTTGCTCATTTTTTAAGGTATACCAGTCTTTAATAAAAACAAAAAAATATATTAAAAAAGCGCATCATCAAGGAATCAAAGATCTAACCTGACAGGGCATGCTAAATGCCCAATTACCAAATAGTTTAATAACTCTTTTTAATTTATTAATGGTTTACATATAATATTATGTGTATTTATTTGATGTGAGGTTAAAATTTTGGAAAATCTAATTAAATATTTCGGTTTTTTGTCGCAAATGAACCGATTAACCGGTGGCCCGACAGACAAAAACCTGAACCAACAGCCTCATTTGCCGGTTTAGTTTTTTAAATTATGATGTTAAGTCAATCTTTTAGATGGTTAGAGGGACTGTGGTATTCCCAGCCCACCAGGGTTCAAATCCTGGTGCTCACATTTATTCCTGGATTTATTTCAGGATTTTCGGCGATGCGCATTCAGTGGGAGGAGACGTTCCCATCGACGACGAGTTGCCTACGGTGACTTCGTAAATTTCAAGATGATATGCCGGCTCAGTCTTTCGGAGTTGCTCATAGGGGTAGGGTGTGCGTGTGTGCGTTCATAGAGGTGAGTGTATGCGCGTGTATATGAGCGCTTGTGTCTGTACTGATGTTAAAAAATGTACAAACTAAAAAAATACACAAGTAAAAAAAACTAAAAAAATACAAAATTAACCGTGAAGTAAAAAAGAAATGGAGAGAGTTAAAAAAACTAAGAGGCAAAAAAAAAGAACGAGTGGAGCCGGTTCGACGCAATTTTCTGGGCCGGGCTGAGCGTGGGGCTGGAATATATAGGCATCCGACCCTCGTTTGTTATAGAAACCCTAGCTTAAGCGGCGGCGGCGGCGGCGGCCAGTATACCACACGCGAGCCTGGTTAGCAATCTGAATCTGAATAGAGAAAAGGAGAGAGATTGATGGCGGGCGTCGGCGGCGGAGTCGAGTTTCGGCCGCCTCCTGAGATGGCGATGGAAGAGATGGATCGGCAGCCTGTCGTTGTTTCCGAAGCAAGAATCCTGAGGATGGAGATTGCGTCCCTGGTGAACTTGCTCATCGAGAAACAATTTGACGTTCTTTCCTACGATCCCGAGATCGTGAGGAAGATCACGTCCCTGAGGAGCGAGATCGCGTGCCAGAAGCTGGCGAGGGAGCGCAAAGCCTTGGTTACGGAGGTCAAACGCACAGTGTCGCGGAGGCGCAAAAAGTTTTATGCAGTGCGGAGGGTCGCTGAGAAGGAGATCATGGCCGATCAGGAGAGCGTGGATCTGCCTCACTCCGATACGCATAGTGTGACCTCCCAAGCCAGTTGCATTTCCGAGCAGTTGCCCGAGCCCTACGACCAGAAGGAGATCGACTCGGAGAATAACAAATCAGCTTCCAGATTCAAATCCAACTTCGAGCATGTATATTCACCCTACGGTATTGAGGACGAGGGAGTGCGCCTAAACCGCCAATTCAGTCATATATTGCAGCAGGCGGATGCTTTGTGTGACGAGATGGCATCTATAGCATCTATTCTGAGGAAAATCAGTGTCCCCATCATCTCCTATTACGATGTCTCCGATCTGTGTAACACAGCGCAGAGTTTATCGAGGATCTCCAAGAGTATATTGTATAATAGCATGAATGCTGATAAACAGATGGCGGTCCAAAAACGCTGAGGACCAGAGGACCAAGGAGGAGATGACTGATCAGATGGGCAAAGGCAAATCCAGCACCCACTGTCTTGAGAAGCAGAGGACAGAGGAAGAGGTGAATGTATCTATAACAGATTTGACTGACCATATCGCTGATGATGGCCAGTTGACAGATGATGAGGGTGACCATTTTGTGGGAGCAGATCTGATAAGTTGCCTTTCCAACCAGATGACTGCGTACATGGATGATGGCCAATCAAGCACCGAGATGCATGTGTCGAGGATGATGGACAAAGGCAAATCAATTAGTGAAGGCATGTCAAGCATGGAGAAAAGCAAACCGGATTCAGATGCGTCGAGGATGTTGGATATGATGATGCTGGATTCTGATGATAAGAGTGAGTCGGATGGTATGACCAACTTGTGCAAATATTACAAGATGCTCGAATTTGAGGGTGAGAAGGTGTTGGGCAAGATGACTGCGGAGAATTTAAGGATGTATTACAAATTTCGTACGGAGCTATTAAAGATGGAAGCCAGCTCTCGCGAGTTCCGGGAGCAGAATGAAAAGGATGACCTGAGGTGGGAGCAGGATAAGAAGGACGCATTGAGCTGTTGCAGAACAGACCCGACCCCCTTCTCACTTCAGGACGCGGTTGAGGAGGAGGGGGAGGAGGAGGAGGTGACAGAATTCACAAAATCAGACAAAGAGGAGATGGAGACGGAGGACATGTTGTTTTCTGGAAAACGTAAAGGCTGGGAATCCGCATGGGGATGCTGTGGTGAATTTGAAGACAGTAGTAAGTAAACATGAACATCCATCGAATCATTCTCCTCTTATTTGGCAACCAGATTCTTCCCTTCCTTTTTTCCTTGTATAAGTTATTCATGTTAGAACATGTCTTAACACTTGGGATTAATTTGGTGTCACAGCCGCAGTGAGTCCTATGCACTTTACACATTGCACGCCGGGACTGATCCCGTACGCCGCTCGCTCTGTGAGCACCTTGCAGATCTACTCCTTAAAGATTGTTGGAACAGATGGAAAGTTGAAGTTACCACTCCATGTGTATGGTCTTGTTGCTGCCCGGGACACCGTGGACTACAACCGCAACATTCTCTTCTTTAGGCGAAGGGAAGACTGTCAAAAACTCACTCCAGAGGTATGTACCGTATTCCAAATTTCTCTCGGTTTTCCATTTTTGTTGCATGTGTCCTTGTTCATTGGATTCAGCGACAATGATGACTATGATCCTTGCAGGATCCATTTTTGCACTTGACTGGCCCGTCCCGTGCCATCGTGGCTGTGGACCATGTTGACTTCGAAGTCCAACTGAAAGTAAAGGGTGCAACAAGGTCCAGCGACAGAGCATTGATCAGTCGTTGCTGCACTTATGCTGGTGGTTATCATGAAGGTTTAGATACCGCTCTCTTCAGCAACTGCTTTTGCATGGTAGAGTTAAGCTTGGAGCGACTCGCAAAGACAGTCCAGGCTACCATCTTAAGTATCCGTGTTGTTGAAGGCGGACCTTGGCCTTTTGAATATGGTGGTCGGATTGTGTGCTCCTCACCACCACAGGAAGTTATGGACTCCCTGGCCAGGCAAGTTGTGTTGGTTGATTCTCGTTCTTCTGATGGTGGAGAAATGCCAATGGGCACAGGTGGCTACCTTGATCTGTCAAGGCATGTTGTTTCTGTAGAACTGGAAGAAAGCCTGCAATTTGTTATACAAGCCTACTCGCAGTCTGGTGATGCTATTGCTAGACAAGGTCGTGTCAAGTTCAGGGCCGAATATTGCAACGTAAGTCGAGGTATATGTGAGATTGGTGACTCTAAGGTGGAGATTACTGTTGCTTGGTCCAAACTTGTTACCAAAAGGATGGATATCCTCTTAGAAGGACATGTTTGATGGTTCTTGTGCGTTGGAGGTTATGGACTACAGAACCCGTTACCCAAATTTATCTGTTTGTCCCTTGCATGTGGTTTGCGAAACTGCAGAACTATTTGTGTATTGATATGTCCAACTATCTGTGTATCTGACTATCTGTGTCCACTTCAACTTCCTATTATGCTATGTGAAGTACTAATTCTGTTTCGATAATCAGCATTAGACCTTTGCAGAAAGCTAGATTTTGTGAGCCAGCCGCAAGTAAAATGGTCTGCATCGTCAAATCTCTGGTTAGAGCAACTCCAACAAATCTCGTATCTGTAAAATAACAGAAAAACATCTCCAACAAGTCATGTATCTGTAAAATAACAAAAAAAACATCTCCAACAGATCCCGTAAACATGGAATAAATTTGCAGGGTCCTCTAAACTTTTGGTGACAATGTAACCGTGTCGATGCGCCGTGCCGCCACTGCCTGCCCTGCCGACGCGTCATGGCGCCACCGCTGCCTATGCTGTGCCGCACCGCCATGTCATGCCACCGCCGTCCCGCATGACCACGACGTGTCTCGCCAGCGGCCACCGACTACCTCGCACCTCCCTTGCTGGAGGTTGTCGTGTGTGTCACTGACTGGTGAGCCCTAGGCCATTTTCTAGTTCTGTTTTATGAAAATTAAAAATGAAAACCTATTTCAGGGGAAGAAGTTTATGGGATCTGACAAAGTAGCTCTCATGAAACTCCCCTTAAAATTTATGAACATCCTGTAAAACTAGTTCGGAAAGTTTCTTAGAGGAACCGAGCTGCTCTAAGAGCAACTTCAATAGATCCCCTGTTCATAAAAAAGCTAAATTTAGGGGAAGTTTGGACAAAAACAAACATCCACAATAAAACCTGTAAACCTGAAATATATTTAGAGATCCTATAAACTCGACCGGCCCCAAGTCCCCTCTTGTTTAGGAAGATGACCTTCCTCTAAAACGTTGGTGGGATAGAAAAAACCCTGACACTTCACCATGCATTCCCCCACGCCGTCACAGCTACGCCTCAACACCTGCCTGCCACCATTGCTGCCTTGCCGCCCTCGCGATGTTGCTGCCACCTCGCGTCACTACCACCGCGCCACCACCGACTTTCGGGCCCTAGGCCATCAGATGCGTTAAAGTTCCGGCCTGTTGGTCCCAATCGATTCATTGTTCAGGCGTTTTGCCTTGGAGACTAGGAACCCATAGGGATGGAGCCCTTGGCTATTCCACAACTAGGTAGTCTTGTTGTGCCCATATGACGCGGATAAAAAATGCTCCACTTATGGACCGCACTTATGGAAACTCTCCTACAGACAGACTTGGCAGAGTCTAATTCATCAGTAACCCCTGGATTTTAGGTATGGGGCCCTCCTGTCCCTAATCTAATAATGTCACCTCCATCTGTAAGCTCCCATCCGTAGAAAAATGACTGTAAGTCTAGCATTGCTCATGACGGATTTAGCAGAGATGAGGACGTTGATTTTGTTCATATGCCTATATGGCTACAAATCCATAAGTTGCCAGATTTTTAATGCAAGAACATTGTGGAGAAACTTTTTTTCGAAGCGGAGGCAAAAGCTTTGGCTCATGTCATTAATAAAGAAGAAGAGAATTGTCGTGTTAATTAATGCAAAACTGAACAAAAACGGCACAAACACCCTCTCCGGCAGTAACATGACAACCTCGAGGCAATACGAGCCAACCTGGCTACCAACACAAGGCGCGCGCACACCACCAAAGAGAGAGCCGCAATCAAGGTTGTCCACCAGTGTCATCGTCATCACTCCTCCTCGAGCCAGCAACTCCGACTTCACCGAAGAAAGCCTGGTCGCAGTGGCTTCGCGAAGCCCACGCCGGCACATGCCAAACAGTTGACTCTTCACGTAGAGGACTGTCAGCTCCGATTCTGATGACGAGATCTGAAGAAGATATATGCAAAGCTCGTGCCGATGAAGATCTTCATGATAGGACTGCCCAACGCAGGTCATCCTTGCCACACAATACACGGCAGCTCCGACTTCCAGCAACGGAAGACCAACACAAAGACCCGTCGGACATGTTGGAACAAGCGCCGACTACCAAGTTCTTGTCGTGACCAAACCATCACTCTTCATCGCCATCGTTGTCGCGCAATACATCACATGGGATCCACGCATCTCCGGTTGACCACCTACCAGCCGCGACACCGTGTGCGTCCAACCCACCAAGAAACGTGGATGGGAGCAAGATTTTCAAGGCGATGCCCCAAAGGAGGAAGACAACGTGAGAATGTCGCATGTCGCTTGACCGGACTGGTCTAGGATTTCCCTCAAAAAGCTTACCCTAAGGATGGGAGAGGTCGAAGAAGAATCCATGGCGACCCCTCCAAGGAGAAGAGCGACACCACAGGTGTCGCCGCTACTGTCCGGCAAGAGTCGGGCAAGCTTTCACTTGGAGCCTCTGGACCACCATCCCCATTCCACTGACGCGAGCCGGCCCACACTTCCACTGGCCTGCACACTCCCGATGCGGCGACCGCACCATCACCACGCCGAGGCCACCGCCTACCTCGTTGTTGACCAACACCGATGAGCTAGATCTGGCGACCACATCTAACCATGACGTAGAGCTTCAAGACGCCACCGTCTGGAGGATCAACCGCCACCAAAACTTGGAGGGGAGGCCGCCACCCACCCCATCACACCGGAGGAAAGACCGCCAACTAAAGTCTGCATTGCTTTCCGCCGCTGTCGCCCCAACGCGCACGGGGCAAAAAGCTTCACGTCGTGTGGAGAAACTTCTGAAAGGTGCAGGTGAGATCATGGATATGCATTTGAATGGAAATACCAGGGGAGACTATATTCGCGTAAGGGTGAAACATGATATACGTATGCCCTTGACAAAATATGTAAGCATTGTCAGAGGCAAAGAACGACAGCTATATCTTGTCCGCTATGAGAAGCTCGCGAGGTACTGTAAGATTTGCGGCCTAGTAGGTCATGAGTTCAAGGAGTGTGGGCTCAGAATCCATGTGGAGAAAATATAATGTTCGGTGATTGGATTTATGCAGATGCTCCTAACAAACCTAGGGCATACAATGATGGTAGGCCAAAGGATATGCACGTTGGTACATAGGCTAAGGTTTATATCAGTAATCAATGAAGGAGGGGCCGCACCTTGAAATAATGGATACAACTTCGAGCCTAGTGAAAATTCCAGTTAGTAGTATGGCAACGGAAAAGGACTCTATAAAGCATTTGAATATGGATGCGGTGGAGGCGAACACGAGAGCCTTTTGTGCACCAAAAGTCATGCTATAACTGATGGGAGTGGGAAGGATTTGAAAGAGAACAATTCTCCAACTAGCAGTACAAGCAGTAAAAGGGTGAAAGTTACCAAGGAAAGTGGAAATGATGAGATATAGGTGGCCTCCCTTGGGGAGAACCGCCGGATGCAATGAATATCCTATCGTGGAACTTGAAGGAAATATGCCCTAGAGGCAATAATAAATATGTTATTTATATTTCCTTATATCATGATAAATGTTTATTATTCATGCTAGAATTGTATTAACCGGAAACTTGATACATGTGTGAATACATAGACAAACAAAGTGTCCCTAGTATGCCTCTACTTGACGGATCACATCATTAGAGAATGATGTGATGGACAAGACCCATCCGTTAGCTTAGTATAATGATCGTTTAGTTTTATTGCTATTGCTTTCTTCATGACTTATACATGTTCCTCTAACTATGAGATTATGCAACTCCCGAATACCGAAGGAACACCTTGTGTGCTATCAAACATCACAACGTAACTGGGTAATTATAAAGATACTCTACAAGTGTCTCCGATGGTGTTTGTTGAGTTGGCATAGATCAAGATTAGGATTTTTCACTCGGAGTATCGGAGAGGTATCTCTGGGCCCTCTCGGTAATGCACATCACTATAAGCCTTGCAAGCAATGTGACTAATGAGTTAGTTACGAGATGATGCATTACAGAACGAGTAAAGAGACTTGCTGGTAACGAGATTGAACTAGGTATGATGATACCCACGATCGAATCTCGGGCAAGTAACATACCGATGACAAAGGGAACAACGTATGTTGTTATGTGGTTTGACTGATAAAGATCTTCGTAGAATATGTAGGAGCCAATACGAGCATCCAGGTTCCGCTATTGGTTATTGACCAGAGATGTGTCTCGGTCATGTCTACATAGTTCTCGAACCCGTAGGGTCCGCATGCTTAATGTTTGATGACGATTTGTATTATGAGTTATGTGATTTGATGACCAAAGATTGTTCGTAGTCCCGGATGAGATCACGGACATGACGAGGAGTCTCGAAATGGTCGAGAGGTAAAGATTCATATATTGGAAGGTTGCATTCGGACATCGGAATGGTTCCGAGTGATTCGGGCATTTTTTTTGGAGTACAGGGAGGTTACCGAAACCACCCAGGGGAAGATTGGGCCTACATGGGCCATAGGGAAGAGGGGAGGTAGCCCACAAGGGGCAGTCGTGCCCCCTCCCTATAGGGAGTCTGAATTGGACTAGGGAGGGGGCGTGCCCCCCTTTCCTTCTCCTCTTCCTCTCCCTTCACTCTTTCCCCTTCTCCGGAAAAAGAAAGGGAGTCCAACTAGGATTGGGAGTCGTAGTTGGACTCCCATCTATGGCGTGCCTCCTAGGATGACCTCCTCCTCCTCCCCTCCTTTATATACGGGGGAGGGTGGCACCCCATAGACACACAAGTTGATCTTTTAGCCGTGTGCCGTGCCCCCCTCCATAGTTTTACACCTCAGTCATATCGTCGTAGTGCTTAAGAGAAGCCCTACGTCGGTAACTTCATCATCACCATCACCACGCCGTCGTGCTATCGAAACTCTCCCTCAGCCTCAACTGGATCAAGAGTTCGAGGGACGTCACACCGAGCTGAACATGTGCAGATCGTGGAGGTGCCGTGCGTTCAGTACTTGGATCGGTTGGATCGCGAAGACGTTCGACTACATCAACC